TGTGTGTGTGTGTGTGTGTGTGTGTGTGTGTGTGTGTGTGTGTGTGTGTATTAGCTGGTTCCTGAAATAATTTTTCTTGTGTGCTTCCAAGAACTCCTAACAGTGTATTTATCTAAAATACCTATCAAGCATCCAAGGCCAAATGAAGCAACACCTGTCCCTAGGTCAGGCGGATAGCTTTATTTCTTGTGCAATTTAGGGTGAGACCCTCCTTTCTTATACAACCTTACTAATAGACCACTAACTTCTTACCTGACCACTTCTAGGAATGTAGACTGAGCACACAGATCCCCTTTTTGATATACTAACCAGTCATTAGCACTCAGGTGACCTCCTCTTTTACCTCTCCCATTCTGGATTGTAAAAGAAAGCCTGGTGGTCACTGCCTGAGGAAAATTCTCATGATCCCGTAGAATTTAAGCAGGGTGACCTTGCTCGGCCAGAGGATTGCTATTGGGTTTATAACTGGATTCCTGGGAGACTTAGGAGGAACATGGAGAACTGAGAGACTGAGAACGGAGAAGGATAAGGAAGATTTTGACCAGAGAGTACGTGTGGACGAGATGGAAGATGAGGAAGAGTCAGATGGGAAAGTCCTAGCTGGGTAAGAACAAGATGAAAAGGACCTAGATGAGGCAGAATTAAGACAAGATAATTAAGATAGAACTTAGAGAAAGCATTAGATAAATGTAGAGAGAAATCAGGCAAGAAAGGAGCTAGGCATAAGAGCAGAATGGAAGCTGTGTAGAGAGAGAACTGACACAGAACAATAAAGTGTATGGACTAAGGAGTTTCATGTACATAGATTAATTATCAGCTGGTTGCAGATTCTTCCCAGATAACACAGCTTTAATCCCAGTGGCAGAGGCAGGCAGAACTCTTGGAGTTCAAGGCCACCTGGTATTCACAGAAGTTCTCATCCAGCCAGGCCTACATAGTGAGACCCTATCTCAAAAAACTGAAAAAACAAATTATATTGACTTTAAAAAAAAAAAGTGGTTGAGTACTTACTAAGTAGGAAACTAAAACTTTACCATGGCCAGTGGATAGTCCAGTGACTTGATAGGAAAACGCATAGCCACCATTAGCCAGGATTTCTATCCAGCAAAAGTAGCAAGGTTAACATGTCGATACTCCAGGAAGGAGGTCCCAAGACTAGCACTACAGTTCCCCGTTATCCACGAGAAGGAGAGGAGAGCAGACCCAAACACAGCACCAGACAGAGGGAGCCTGAGGAGCCGTGACTGCAAGACCCAGGTGCTGGCCACACTATTTAATGGACTACCCATGCCCTGCTGGCCTGGGACCCAGTACCCTCATCTCTACAGGTGACCCAGGAGCCTTCCTCATGTAAGCTCTCACAACGGTCTGATCCCTTGTGTCAGCTTCTGTGCTCTGGGGACAATAAGGATGGCAGAGCAGAGTTCTGTCTCTATTCACAGGAGTCCAGTCCATCCTGTGTCACGGGTACAAATTGAATCAAGAAGTACATTGAATCAAGAAATCCAGTTGGGCGGTGGTGGCGCACACCTTTAATCCCAGCACTCAGAGGGCAGAGGTAGGCAGATCTCTGAGTTTGAGGACAGCCTGGTCTACATACAGAGTGAATTCCAGGACAGCCAGGGCTACATAGAGAAACCTTGTCTTGAAAAACCAGAAAAAAAAAAGAAAAAGAAAAAAAGAAATCCAGATCCCTGCTATGACCGACACACGGTTCCTTCCGAAGAAAGACTGCAGAGTTATGTTCTAACATAATTAAGGCCAGTGACTCAAAATGGAATTCAAAGATTTACTGTCCAGGTCTGACTTTGGGCCTATGATGTTGGAGGGGTGAGGTATGGAGGTTCACACTGGCCCTTTCAGAATAAAAATCTTTGTCTTCTCCAGAATGGAAATACCTGCCAGCCCCCTTAAACATGAATAGGACATTATGCATTATTCACCATCTTTGAGAGAAAGCTGTATATCAATGCAAATAATGTCAGTAATGGCACCACTGATGAAAATAGTTGTATTGATTTCTTTTGGGCATAGAGGACTAAGACAGAGTCTCATGTAGCCTAGGATGGTCTTGAATCCACTAGATAGCCAACGCTGACCTTGACCTCTGGATCCTGCCTGTACCTCCCAAGTGCTGAGATTAAAGGTGTGTCTAGCAATTGTGTTGTTTATAAGCAAAAGAAGCCAAACAACTTAATGTCCATCGAAAGGATATTAATGGACTGGAGAGATGGCTCAGTGGTTAAGACTACACACTGCTCTTCCACAGGACCCGCCTGTGGTTCCCAGATCTCTTACAGGGCCACGCTCAACCACCTGTAACTCCAGCTCCAGGGGATCCAATGTCCTCTTCAGGCCTCCTCAGGTACCTATACTCACATGCACAACCCCCTTCCCCCCCAACACACACACATGCAAATAGACCTACACACAATTAAAAATAAAATACACCTTTAAACTTTTCAAAAAGGACACTAATTAACTAAGTTACACTTCATCTAGACCATGAAATTCTACACGGTGACTGAAAAACAGGTAGATATACTTATGCCCACATGAAAGTATTTCCAAAAGAAATTCAATCAGGAATCTGAGAACTGTTATGTCTAATACCTACATTTACAAAGAGAAAACAAAAAGCATAAGCAGCACACCCCTGTCATCCC